TTGCTTATCTGCTGTCTTTTTTGATCAATTGTTATTTGCTTAATTTTCTTAGTAGTTAATCATAGTAATAGTCATCAAATCAAGTGTAATTTTCCTGGATAGTAATCAACTGGAGATTATTCAAACACTGTTTAAATCAAATCCCTGTGGGGATGATAATTAATCTATACTATCTTTGATTAGTGAGCATCAATTTTGTATTATGTTTTGCGCTCGTCACATTCCTGAGCCGGCGAAGCGAGTCAGAGTTCGGTACCCGAGACTTAGTATTCTTCTTAGGCTTACGAGCTCGGGAAGCCGCCCTCTTTTTGGCTTCACCTCGGGACCCGGGGGATCCCGATGGCTTTCTTTTCCTCTTCTTCTCTCCTATGACAGCTCTGGGCTGTCCTGTCACGAAGGGATCAACGGATAAGAACACATCCTCGTCCCCTTCCAGCGGCCTATATTCCACGGTCTTAGGCAAACGTGCGAAGGAAAGAGACAAGGTCAGAATTATGTAAGTTTGTGGCATAGTAATAACTATTCATAGGAGAACCTTACCATGAGAACGAGTCTCACATCTGCCCTTTGAAAGTTTGCACCACGCGCACTCAAAGTATGACATCTGCTTGCAGATTCCTTCGATCCACTCCTTGAGCCGGGGGACAATATTGGGAACCTAGGCAACAGCCGCATGACCACAAATACTGATGATGAGAAAGGAAATAAAGAAAAATTGACACTTAAGGAAAGACTACACTTACGAGATGCATTCCACTTCTCGGAAAATGGCAGGAACTCGGGAGGGGTCAGATTTTCAATTTTTACCCGAACAAAGCACCCCTGCTAACCTTGGTCTCGACACTCGTCGATGCTCGAAAAGGGAGCCTTGCTGGCCCAGCGAATAAGCTTGATTAGTCCCCCTCAGAAAATTTGGGGATTGTACAGACGGAGTAGGTTGTCGAGGGTGAATCAAGGAGATTCAATGTTGTTCACAAAATAATGTAGGAGGATCACGATCCTCCAAAGAGACGAGTGGATTTGCCCTAGGCACACCTCGTACCTCTTACAAAAGGCCATAACTACTGGGTCTGCACGACCCAACATGAAGGGGTAAGTGTAAACACTTAAATACCCCTCCACATGGGTAGTTATAGCATCCTTAGGTTCGGGGACTACCACGTCCTTGCCTTCCCATTTACTGTCCTCTCGGACTATGGGAATGATATTTTCGGTAATGGAGCATATGTATCTCCATGCTCCTTCACCTCGGTCTTGTTTGGCTTAGGCCTTCTCGACCTTGAAGTCGTCCCCGATTTAACAGCCCCCGGGTATAAAACTTTTCATTGGGGGCTGTGGGGCCGCTTCTGGAGCAGCCACCTCGGTATCTGTGGCCGGGTGGGAAGATGAAAAGGCAGCCTGCTGAGGAACTGATTTGGAAGTCTTAGCCATCATGATCTGGAAAGTATGACGATTTGAAGGAAAAGTATAAAGGTTTGAAGGAACAAGTATGAAAGTTGAAGAAAATAGTATGAAGGTTTGAAAGTAGGATGAATATTTGGGTAAAAACCTAAGAACAATTATGAAGATTTGAAAGAGTTGATAGTCGTTAGAAAATTCGAAGAAAAAAGCTAGGATCGGAAAGTAGAAGAAGTACAAAAGTTCGAAGCTTTTATAGGAGAAAATGCCATTAATACGTGGCGTTTCACATTCAGAGGCGACCAACCGATGATGGACACGTGTCCGAAGTCAGAACGACGCGATTGATGGGACGTTTCAGCTTATTCATCATCTCGGTTGTAACGTACGAAGGAAGGAACCGGGGTTCATCTATCGTTTTCCATTGTTTCGGTGAACCTACTCTATGAGAAATGAGAGGACTATCTGTATACGGGTGAACTCGAGGCTAGTGCACACCCCGACTTCCCGGTAAGTCAAACGAAGTAAGAGTATGAATGTATGAGATCGACACCGAATCTGAGAATTCTTTGAATCGAGGCTGCAACGGGGTACTCGCTACTAGGCATGGCGAGACAACACTCCCCGAACCCAGAACGAACTCCAAGACCTCGGAAAGTACTACAAACGGTTGCATACGACTAACAAAGGGCCGTAATATCCTCACTCAACCAGATATCACAGCGCGGATCTCGCCCGATGTCGGTAGTGTATCAGTAATTGATGAGAAATGAGGATTTTCTCTTTTTAGAATTGTACTAGGGATGAAACTCTCCTACTATACAAAGAAAAACTTTTTATTCAATGGAGATATTGCAACACACATATCAAGGCAATACAAACTTATTTCTGTGCTTTCTAGCTATTGAAAAGTTCTTATTTTAATCACTGTTCTTTATATACATTTGACTTCGAATCGAGGGCTCGGTCGAGGATAAAACTATTGTTCAGCTTAAATCCGAGCCCGACCTTAACGTCACAATTGGTCTATTTATTCATTTTATCTTTAATTCGTTTATCTAACATTCTTGATTATTTGTGTTGAATTAATTCACGTATCCTTAAAATCACGACAAATTCAATTGTTGTCCGTTTTTAGAGTAAAAGAAATTATTTCCTCGATTAGTCCAAGTAACATGTAATTATTCAATTACACATATATTTCATATTTTTGTCGAAGATAGCTGAAATATACGCCCTTCATTTCCTTTTACTAGTCCAGACCTGACACTTCCTTTAAGATATCATCTCTTGAGATTTTATTTTATTAAAATACCCTTATTAATGATAATTAAAATCCTATTAACAAAGCAATGATTGGGAAGTGTGGTTGCTTAGTGATAAGTTAACATTGGAAGCAAATAATAAATCTCTCTTATTTGCTAAGATGAACAAGTAAAAGGAAAAATTTATAAACAAATTTCCTATCTTAAAATAACAACAAAACGTGTTAAACGATTCCAATGAGTAAAAGTTTTAGGAGATTCCCGGGAATTGAAACAATATAAAATCTTCTGATTCGTTTAAGATAACGTGCACAGAATCCGTGCATCATGCTCCAAGAAATTAAAAATTGATTGTTTTTTAATCCTTTCAAACAATCTCCGAATATCTAACTTATTGTAATATTCAGTTGCTTCGGAAACTACAGAGTTAATTATCTCTTTCAATAAATAATTGGTTATTCATTCTTGGGTTAAGTCAGTCATTTATTATTTGTTCAAAGTAATGACCAGTAAAACGGAACCAGAGGTCATTTTCTTTCTCTAATTTGATGTTCCACCAACCTCTTAAAAGTTTCCCCAGAATAATCGGAAGAAATAACGGAGTTTTATTTAAAACTAAACTATAAAATTTTATATGGAATAATTAAATTATACACTATATTTATCATAAATAAATATATTTTAAATTAATTATAATACATAGTTCCCTAAAGTAACATTTTCCTCTCTTTCTACTTTCATCTTCCTACTATAATCTAGCCGCCTCCCTCGTCTACCCTAAACTCTTTATCCCTTGGTGTTATAATCTAGTCGGAGAAGCACCACTGGCCTCACTTGCCGTAACATTGCCGTCTAACCTTCTTTTTTGTTTTTTTATCTTCTTTGTGCTCTCCCTTCTCTCACTCGCTATGAAAATTTCTCATTTTAGTACCTCAAATTTCTCAATCCAGACCGGTCTCGTCATTACCTCCACTGCCGCCGATCTCTGGCTGGAATTCATGGCCAACCGACCGGATTTCTCAGATCCGAATGTATTTTCTCAGATTTGAGTGTATTTCCCAAATTTGAATATATTTCATTTCTTGTGGCCGAATTAAATACAATAAAATAGGCATTATGGACGAATTTTTGTTCATCTGACCGGTTTGGTAGATACAATGTGATAGTATTCTCAGATCTGGCCGAATTTTTGTTCGTCTCTATTTTTTAGTTTTAATATAATGTATATAGTGTTTTGCTTGGCCTTCTGTACAGATACACTCGAATTTGAGTGTATCCTGTATTTTTCAATGCAAATCGAAAATTAATTTTTGTGGTAGATCCCTGTATTTTTAAAATTTTTGTTATTTGAATACAACTAAATTAAATACAGTAAATTGAATACAGTGTAAAAGCAGCTAAAAATAAATATAATGAATTGTATACAACCGAATAGTCATTTCTGAAAGTTCCCCTTAAAATTGTGCAAAAATATGAATTCACTTGATCATATTTTAGGTGGTAAAATACTCCGGGGTCGTTTGCTTATGAGATTAGGATACTAACTCCACATTAGAATTTGAGATTGTATTTATATGATTATAGGTGTTAGTTAATATCGCTACAAATTTTGTAACAAAATCCTAGTTTTATATAAAATACGAGACGGAATCAACTAAAATCTTATTTCGTCACTGGCAACTTGAGTAGGATTGATCCCAGAAAGCGACAATAAGCTTTGTTGCGCATTGAACTGAAATTGTCAGAAGTTTAATTGCATTTTAACCTACCCACACACACATCAAAAATATGGGATAACAAAATCGGAATAAAGTTTATATGTGTAATACAAATGTAAGCATGTTATGTTAAAGTAACACGAGTATAGAAAGAACACCTAGTATTTATTAAAGTTACACGATCCCATAAGTACGGATTTCTTCACATGGAGTTGCATTGATCAACCAAACTTGACACTTTGTGAGTCAAGATCCGAGAATGGTAGGTGGAATTGGAATTTTTTATTATTACACAATGTCCTTCAATATAGGAATAACCGCTTGATACATATCCTTATGCTTAAAGTCATAAAGCAAAGCAGAAAAATCAATTATATAAGCTAAATATTAGTAGCGTTAAAAATAAAATGCATAAATATTGTTGATATTTATCATGGAACTTCAGTTCACACCATCACTTTTACAAGTAATTCTAGGGATATTATTAAAAATAAGACTATGTACTCTTGTAATATAATAATAGCAATACTAAGAAGTAGCAGTAGTGCCAAATCTCTTGAAGAAAGTCTATAAATACTGCCCTCATACTAATTACTCTTATCAACCTCAAAATCATAAACTATTAGTATTAAAATATGGCTGGAAAACTTGCTATCCTTTTCACCACTCTCCTTGTGCTTATTGCTGGTAACTAATTACTTTATCCTCCTACGTACAATATTGTAAAAACATCATATCGTTTAACATGTATCTGTGTTCTATTTGTTTGTATCTTTGTATTACATATTTTTACTAACTTCGATTTTGAACTTAATTATGATTTGCAGCCCAAAATGTGATGGCTCAACGAGACTTACCAAAACATAAAGATGTACTGCCATTTGCAGCCAAACTATTTCAAGATCCAACTTGTGGGAAAACTTGTGAAACGCATGACGATTGCTCTGCTTGTTTGTTATGTAGCGCATGTTGGAATTTTTCAAAGACCTGTGGACCATATGTTGGTCGCGCCGCTGCCATAGGCATATAATTCATTATCGTGCTGTTGTTATTGTTGTTGTTGTTTTTGTATTATTTTTTCTTTCTCTTTAAAAAAATGATGACGGAGTCTAGCTCTGCAGGCTATGGAATCAAATCTTCCATATTCGGTTGATCTGATAGGAGACATCATCAATGTGTAACTAATTAAATAAAGAGTATCGCCCAATATAGTTAAGCAATTGGCAGATGAATTTTTTAATTGGATTTTAGATTGAGTTTAGCGATAAATAATCATGTGTACGGGTAAAATCGGGGCCTGATGAGAGAACGAAGGGGGAGCATGGATCCGCGAGATTGTAATCAAGGCAAGAGACTCCTCATATCGAGACCCTGGAAGAATGAACGATATATCCGACATCGGACATGGTAAAGCGACGTACCCCGGGCCGAGTATAACTTCTAGACCTCGGGAGACGCTGTAGATGGTTATGCATGACGGATAGGGGCCGTAATACTCGCCCTCAACCGAATATTACGGTGCGAATCTCGTTCAATATCGATTATGGATCAACAATTACCGGAAAAAGAAGATTTTTACCTCTTCTAGACTTATATCATGACTGAAATTCTCCTACTATATAAAGAGAATTTTTTTCTGATACATTGTGACACACAATTCAAAGCAATAAGAAAATTTATTTTTGTCTTCTAGCTACTGTTCAAGGCATTACTTGTTTGTTCCTTTCTTTGCTCACGACCGAGCTTGCATCGAGGGTCCGATCGAGAACGAATTTCAATGTTCAATCTAAGACCAGGCTTGGCCATCGTATTGCAATTGGTTTGATCGTTTATTTTGTATTTAATTCATCTATCTGTTATTCTTAATTATTCGTATTGAATTAAATCACGTATCCTTTAAACCACATACAAATTTAATTGTTACTCATTTTTGGGTAAACAGTTTGGCGCCCACCGTGGGGCTAAGAAAAATAGTGGTGATTTGGTACGAATCTCCATAACACACCTTATTTTACGCTTGTTCTTTGAAATCTTAATTACAGGCCAGCCTAAAAATGTCAAACTCTCAGTCTGCTCACTTTAACGTTGACGCTCAGTCAGGCCATCACGGCGAAAATAATAATGTGGTGCCTAGTAATGATGTGCTTCCTGCTGATCTAAACGGTGTCCCAGCCGCCGACCCGGTCGATGCTAACTCGCAGGTGGCCATCAACATCAATTTTCCAACTGATCCCGAAAACAGTGTTCGTGGCGGACCACGACCAACAGCTCAAAAAGCACCCGAAAGTGAAGGTGATGGGGTGAGCCTATGACTGATTTTCAAAATGTTGTATGCTCAACAAGCGGCAATAGCACATCTGTAGAATCAAAGCCACGCCCCCAACAAGGTCGAGCCCAAATAATCCCGGGAAAGCACTCAAAAAGACGAACAAATTACCGAAAGACCGAGCGAAGCCGAGCCCGGGGTAACTTCAGTGGTAATGAAGATGCTCGAAGCGTTGACAAAACAGGTAGAGTCGGGCGAGAAAAAGATTGAGGCCAACGACAAGAAGGTGAAAACATACAACTCCAGGGTCGATCAGATCCCAGGAGCTCCCCCGATATTGAAGGGACCAGACTCCAAAAGTTTTATCCAGAAGCCCCTTCCTCCGAGCGCGGCACCAAAGCCGATCTCAAAGAGGTTTCGTATGCCCTACATTCCCAAATATAATGGGACTACGGTTCCTAATGAGCATGTGACCTCCTATACATGCGCGATCAAAGGGAACAATTTGGAAGATGATGAGATCGAGTCGATGTTGCTGAAAAGGTTTGGGAAAACTTTGTCCAATGGAGAAATGATATGGTATCACAACTTGCTTCCAAATTCTACTGACTCATTTGCTATGCTTGCAGTTTCTTTCGTAAAGGCCCATGCTGGAGCCATCAAGGTCGAGACCAGAAAGTCAGATGTTTTCAAGGTCAAACAAAGGGATAACGAGATGATCAGGGAGTTCTTGTCAAGATTCTAGATGGAGTGGATGGACCTACCACCAGTTGCAGATGATTGGTCCATTCAGGCATTTACTCAGGGGCTCAACCCCCGAAGTTCCGTGTCCTCTCAACAACTAAAACAAAATTTAGTGGAATACACTGCGGTAATCTAGGCCGATATCCTCAACAGGTACCAGTCGAAGATAAGGGTCGAGGACGACCACCTCGCGACCCCTTTTGGACATATTTACCCCATCAGGACTGATGATAGATCTAAGAGAGCCATTGATCAGGATCCAAGACTAGTCCGAGATCGGTACCAACCATACAACGCGAATCGAAGGGGAAATGAATTCGGGCGTCACCAAGTAAGGAACGAAAAGAGAAGCGATCGAGGGCCTAGTGGTTGGGGGTTGATGAGCAAGAACAAGTTCGATAAGCTGCTCGGGAGTAGGGAGGCACCAAGATTATCGGAATATAACTTCAACGTATACACTGCAAGCCCCATGTCGGCCATAGGGCGCATCAAAGAGACGAACCGACCAGGGGGAGTCAAAATGGTCTACGAAGAACAACCGACCGCAAGGGAAATATTTGTTGTCGATGAAGTGATACAGGTGCCCGCGGTTTCAACATTGAGGAGCGCGGAACCGATCAAGAAAGAAGAGATTAAATAGAATCATTGATGTCGGCCTCAGCCGAACCGGAGAAACAGGAAGAGAAGGAGCGCACGATGAGGACGATTACAGCGTCCCGAGATCATTCATAGCTCCCGATAACACCGACGCCAGCAAATTAATGGTTGAAAAGTTTGAGCAAGTTATATTAATCGAGCATTTACTAGATTGAAAAGTATACCTGGGCATGGGGTTAACCCCCGAGCTCAGGAAAAACCTTATTTATTTTCTTAAAGCTAACGCTGATTGTTTCACTTGATTCCATCTTGACATGACAGGGATCCCACCGGAGGTAACCACTCACAAGCTGAGTTTGGACCTGAAGTTCCATCCGGTTAAGCAGAAGAGAAGGCCACAGTCCGAGATCAAACACGCATTCATCAAGGATGAGGTATCCAAACTTCTAAAAATAGGATCCATCCGGAAAGTTAAATACCCAGATTGGTTAGCTAACGTAGTGGTAGTAGCTAAAAAGAAAATAAACTAAGGATGTGTGTGGGTTATAAATATCTAAACAAAGTATGCCCAAATTATTCTTTCCCTTTGCCTAACATCGATCGAATGATTGACGCGACGGTCGGGCACGAGATACTCAGTTTTCTCGACGCCTACTTCGGGTACAACCAAATTCGTATGTACCCGGACGATCAAGAAAAGACTTCTTTCATAACAAAATTCGGCACCTACTGCTATAACATATTGCCATTCGGATTAAAGAACGCTGGTGCCACCTACCAACGCCTAGTAAGCTGGATGTTCAAAGAACATATAGGGAAATCAATGAAAGTTTATATTGACGATATGTTGGTCAAGTCCCTACGAGTAGAGGACCATTTGAAACATTTACAGGAAACCTTTGACATACTAAGGAAGTACAACATGAAGCTAAACATGGAGAATTTTGCATTTGGGGTTGGCTCGGGCAAATTCTTCGGGTTCATGGTATCTAATCGGGGGATAGAGATCAACCCCGAGAAAATAAAGGCCATAGAGGACATCACCGTAGTTGACAACGTCAAGGTGGTTCAAATACTGACCGAGCATATAGCCACATTAGGCCGGTTCATCTCGAGGTCGGTGGACAAGAGCCATCAATTCTTCTCCCTATTGAAAAAGAAGAAGAATTTTTCTTGAACTCTGGAATGCCAGCAAGATTTGGAAGAATTCAAGCGATACCTATCGAGCCCCCATTTGCTGCATACTCTGAAGGCAGACGAACAACTATACCTCTACTTGGCGGTTTTCGAGGTGGAGGTAAGTGGTGTCTTAGTCCGGGAGGAAGAAGGTGCACAATATCCTATTTATTATGTTAGTAGAACCCTAGACGATGCCGAAACAAAGTATCCTCACCTAGAAAAGTTAGCGGTCTCCTTGCTAAGTGCTTCCAGGAAACTAATACCGTACTTTTCATGCCACCCCATATGTATTGTAATATCTTACCCACTGAGTAATATCATGCATAAAACCGAGCTCTCGGGCCAACTAGCTAAATGAGCCGTGGAGATTAGCGGGTACGATATCAAGTACCGACCCCGACCTGCCATAAAATCTCATAGTTTGGCAGATTTCGTGGCCGACTTTATGCCGGCCTTGATACCTGAAGTCAAAAAAGAATTACTGCTCACTTCGGGGGATAATTCGAGAATCTGGACCCTATTCACAGACGGTGCCTCCAATGTGAACGGGTTCGGGCTCAATATCGTGTCAAAACCGCCCACGGTAAGTGTAGTTATACAGTCTATTAGAACTATAAAATTGACTAACAATGAAGCCGAGTATGAAGCCATAATTGCAGGTCTAGAACTGGCTAAGAGCCTCGGGGCCGAAGTGATCGAAGCTAAATGGGAATCTCTCCTCATCGTAAATCAAGTTAACGGAACGTTAGAAGTAAAAGAGGAACGTATGCGGAGGTACTTGGATAAATTACAGGTAACCCTGTACCAATTTAAGGAATGGACTCTACAACATATACCCTGAGATCAAAACAGTAAGGCTGATACACTGGCTAACTTGGGATCATCTGTTGACTCCGATGAATTCAACTTGGGGGAAGTGGTGCAACTGATGAACTCAGTGGTAGAAAAAGGTCACGCCGAAGTAAACTCAACAAGTTTGACTTGGGAATGGAGAATCAAATACATTGACTACCCAAAGACAGGAAAATTGCCATTGGATCCCAAGGAATCGATAGCCCTGCGCACAAAAGCTGCTAGATTTAGCTTACTCGAATGGGCATTGTTCAAAAGATCCTTTTTCGACCTACTTGCTAGATTCTTAGGTCCGGGAGAAACCAATTACGCCATGAGAGAAGTTCACGAGGGCACCTGCGGGTACCATTCGGGGGAAGAATCCTTAGTTTGGAAGCTAATCAGAGTCGGCTACTACTGGAATGAAATGGAGAAGGATGTGAAAGACTTCGTGCAAAAATGCAACGAGTGCCAAAGACACGCCCCGATGATTCATCAACCGGGAGAGATGCACCACCCGATCCTGTCACCATGGACATTTATGAAGTGGGAATGGACATTGTCGATCCCCTGCCATGGGTGCCTGGTAAAGTCTAGTACATACTATTCATGAACGATTATCTTTCCAAATTGGTTGAGGCTCAGGCGTTCGAGAAGGTCCGGGAGAAAGAAGTTAT